GGAATGGGGGGGAAATAGCAAGCAAGCGACCCACCCTGCATTCAGGCCTTCTATCCCACTGTAGCAAGTCCCTGGGACAATGGATTTTGAGTTCTGCTTTGACTTAGTGATTTATTTAAGTTGCTTTGTCACTTAGAGAGAGGATTGGATTGGAATAATAACTGTATCTTGGGTTTCAGATTAATTTGGGTTTGAAACTATAAGGGTTTTGGCATCAGAATGCAAGTTCTTTGGTTTTGAGGACTGCTAGCCAGCCAAGAGTGCAGCTAGTCAAGCCTAAGTGCTTGATAGACTTAGTATTTGGGTTTTGGAATATTCTAAGTTGATTTGGAGCACAATTTTGCATTGATTCTAAGTCCCAATTATACTTAAACATTGCTATAAACTACTCTCATGAGTATTGCATCTTTGAAAGCAAGATAGAGTTGAATAACTGTCTTTATTGACTGTTTCTTTGATTTTATTCAAGACTGTAAGAGTGCTTCTATTGTACTCAAACAACCAACCTTAACTGTATTTAGTGATTGTGTATTGAGTGGTTAGGTGTTGGTGTTTGAGAGTTCATTCCTTATTCACCTCTCTCAGTCACTTCACCACTGCTAAGCACATCAATAGTCTGATTAGATTATATAGCTATTAGCTTTGATCTGGATACCAACAGACTACAGTATAATCCTATTATTATTCTTAATTAAACTCTATGCTCACAATAGATTATATATACATCTCACCCAAGATTGCATCCAAAAGCAGAAAATATTCTTATATAAAAGTATTAATCTATGTCTAGATATTAGCTAATTGAAAACTAACATATGAAGTAATAGAAGAGTATTAGGGGGTTCTAAAGCACCACATCACTTGAAATAGAGCATACCAGTCTTGTATTCTATGAAGGAGCAGCCTAGGAGGCTCACTCTGAGAGGGTCAAAAATAGACAAATAAAAGTTTATAATAACTAAGATAGTCTTGGTAACCAACCAATAAAAACTGGTCAACAGAAAAGGAATGAGGCTAACAAGCTCTTATATATATACATGATGATACAGTTAGAGAAAAGTAAGCAGAAAAAGAGAAAGAGATATAAAACTTGAGACTAGTATGTGTCAATTGGTGAGTCTGAATAGTATCTACTCTACATTCTGACTTTCCATAATTAAACCTGCATCAAGCAAGCTTTAAAACTGATTAAATCAACAGAGATCTGTTTTAACATATTATTTTCCAACTTGAAGTTCCTGATGCCTTATTTGTTGTCTACTGTCTGCCATACTGAAGACTGAAAATTTCTCAAACTTTCTATCCTGTCTTTTATGCCTAACAATCCAATCCTTCATGAAATTGTTTCAGTCATGTTCTGAGACATCATCATCTCTCTCACTACTTATAGGACTCATCAGGTATTGGGCAAGTGTGAGCAACAATTTTGAATGTGTAAACATGAGTTATCTCAGTGTCATCTTTGACAATCAAATAGTCATGTTGTGGTGCTGATATGCTCTGTTGGTGAATCCTTGCATATCAGCTGAGTTGATATAGAGTCCTGCATAGGAGTCAATGATTATAATCCTCTCCATCAACCTATGTTCACTGGAAGATGAAAGCCTTTTTATCATCATCTGCTTCCATAATAGTCATCAACACTTGTTTCTATTTCCATATTCAGAATACAAGAAGAGCCATTCTACATGATAAAAAGGATCCATTACATCTATGAGGTCTTCTTAGGCATCCTCTGTAGGCCAATTCTCATTATATCTTTGAATATGACTTGAGTAGGAAAGGAATGCCAGCCCTGCAACTCTATCCACAGGATTTGTGGACAACTGTTTCTGCATTTGTGAAAGGACATCAAAGACTAAGGTACTTTTTCCTCTCATAGGCTGCAATGATGCAAGTTTGTTATTGAATCTTATTTGCTTCCCTTCTTCTATCATATCATCATTTTCTGTTTTCCTATCAATGATTAGATGTTCAGTAATCTCCTATAGTGTCCATGCCTGAATGAACCAACAATGATCACTCTCAAAGTCACCAGGTTTGAAACTCAGTGGCTGACTCAAGCTGCTGAAGTAGCACAGCATGTTCTTATCTCTCTCATACACTCATCCAATTATAAGTATATCCATCTTTCATTCCTCTGAGTGCAGATCCTCCCTTGACCCATCTGTCTGTCTGAAACAAAGATCATCCAGCCATACATACACTGTGCTCAAATTCAACATCTTAATCTGAATCAAATCAAGGTTGGTATCTTTTAGGATAGACACAGGCCATTCACAGATGTTGATAGGTGTCCACACATCAATATGACCTCCTCTTGATAGATTTGAACATGAACTTCAGATGGCATAATGATGGAGGAAGGGATGCAAGGGTGGTGGTAGGACAAAAACCTGCATATATTAGAGTGGATATGATGATAGACATATCAATTAGAAAGATGATCAGATGTGGTGGACCATGGAGTGTGATGAGATTTGGAAGCAGAGTGGCAGCTGTATGTGTGAATGACTTCTGAGTTGACATAGAAGGAGTGGTGACAGCAGAGATGTGAGAAAGAGATTGAGTCAGCTGAGTGTAGTGAGCACAGATAAAGGTTGGACATGGGTCAGTGTGCTGCACCATGGCTTTATGGGCACTAAATTTTGGTTTTTCTGGCTCTAGATCCACCACAGCATCAAGAGAGCTGAGCAGTGAGCATTCCACTTTCAAAAAGAGAAACCATTCTCCCACTATGGCTCAAGCAATAGAACACTGATATAACCTGTCTGGAGATCTGCTATGCAATCAATAACCTACAAAACAATGACAGATGGCCATCTGCTGTTTACACATTAAATGCTACATCTGCAATTAGGAGTGGATGCATATCAGCTGGGGCATGTGCATGGATGGATGCTTCATCTGATCAGGGGTGAATCAGGCATGGATAGCTTTATAAAGCTATTCAACAAGACACTGAATATGAAAGGTGTAGCTGATTTGATCATGGATAACAGACCCACAGAGCAGATTAGTGGTGCCATGCTGGTATGGGTCAGATGAGGCCAAAAATAAAATGGTCTAGGCACCTATAGGAGCCATGACAGATAAGGGAATGGATCTTTGGGCCCCTTGTATTTAAAGGATAACCTTGTAGATAGAACAGGGACCAACTTTTATGGTGCAAAGCCAAGAAATAAGATTCTGCTAGTCTCCTACAAGCAGAAGCCATAAGCATACCTAGAAGCCTTTGAGCCTGGTATCACACAAGTGGACAGCTTAGAGCAATCCTTGAATCTCACCCTTATTCCTTCCACATCCCACTTGTCTTCTGACCATCTTCTCTCAGAGGCAGATGCTAGAGCCTGTTCTACCAATAAGCCACTGCTCCAGGCAGATTCTGTTGGATCTGCTCTGAACTGCTAGATTTCCCTCTTGTGATTATAAAAGAACTTGCAAGAGCAGATGCATCTTTCTTGTACCAGAGAATTTGCTAGCCTTATATTGTGGTGGCAGGAAGTGGTGTAGATGGAGACAAGTCATCTTTGTCATTGAGCTGTGATAGAAAATGCAAGGACACAATGTTAGTTTGTTCATCCAGCCAGATTTTATCTATTGTACTGCTTGTGAACAGAAACAAAACAAAAATGCACAACCATTCAGACATGGAGAATTGAGCATCTACATGCTGGACAAACATACTGATGTGAAAGATAATAATGTTAGCCATTATGCCACATCCAAGTTGAATTCAGGGTAGTGAGATAATAACTCCATAGGTTAATGTAAGTTTCCAAGCTGCCACTGCATTCAGTAGAGTCAGAATGATGGCCTACACCACAGCAATGATTTAACTCAACTGGTACTATAGTACTGACATCACAAAGCCACAAAGAACAACTGGATGAAACTGAGTCTTTTTTAGTTGAGTGGTATGCTAGGATGTTCCTCAAATCCTTAAGATTCATAATTAGGATGGCCAACTGCTCTAAGAATGCTGGGTGGCACTTGCTCAGCCTTATATTATTAGTACACATGATTTGATGCAGTCTGGAGGTACAGGTGGATCACTTATCACTGCTGGCATCGGTTGTGGTTGAAATGGGTGCAACATCCCAATAAGGAAGGCTGATATATATGTTTGACAATCAGGCCAGGATCTGTTCAATTCTTTTCCATCTACCACGTCGCTTGGTTCTTGTCACAACACTGCCAACGATGTCTATACCGTTAAGAATACAAGGCTGATTTCTACATCATGCTCGAGTTCAAATGATTCTACATCAAGTGGTAACTGCCATCTAAAGGTCACCCAAGCTGGATAACTAATATTTGCACTAAATCTTGGTGGGTATAACTCCGACACACTCGACGGATTCTCTTCTCATTAAAACACCCGGATGAACAACAAAAGTTCTGTTTTATTCCCAGTGATGCTACTTGTCCGCTGCTGTCAGTCTCTCGATATAGCTAGCTTTCATCCAGTGTCGATGTCGTGTAGGACCAGTGACGCCCTTGAGGCGCATCCAACAATGAATACGCCTACTTCCAAGGCCGATATGGGCTGTATTTTGGCAGGATGATCTTGGTCAGAAGCTATGCCTTATTTAATGCAACATGATGAAGAGCCATCTCGATAGTCAGGTGAAGGCAAGTGCCCCAGCCTCAATGTCGTGCTTATACATGTTGAAGGACGCTCTGAGTCTAACTCTCTGGTTACTCTGTAGACGAATTCGTTCAATACTGCAGCGACGTATGGAAGTGGTCATTCCACCACACGAAACAAAACCGAGCCAGTAAGAAGAAAATTTGAATGCCCGAAGCTTCGCTCTGTATGGAGTTTTTTCAGCTTCTTATTTTCCCTCCATATCACTAACTTTCACAATCACATTCAGACATATCAAACTTTACGATCCTACGATCATTTTCCCATGAGAGTATTTTCAGCTCGTCCTTGTGACGTATTTAAGGATGGCAATCATCTATTCGCAGTAGGAGCCCCACGAATTATTCCCATGTCTGCTCCCTTGTCCAAAACATACGGAGCGGTAGCCATTGGTGCTCTCTGCGCTTCTGTGTACGTCCGGTCGTTCATGACTATCTAGTATTCATATTTTCCTAGACTTTCAGGCGCAGTCGCCATTCAGACGATCCTTTATTATAAATTCTACCCGTCTGATTTCTTCAGAGTTAAACTCCTCGTCAGTAGCTCGGGTTCCTACCTGTGTTTCCTCTCTGACGCTTGCGTTTCCTGCAGGTCTTCATCATATGGTACGTGTCTGATCGTCCGCATATTCTCCGGCTTACGGTTTCCAGGTTCCTCGATATCTGCCACACCACGTTTATCGGGATCTCAATCTGGGACTGCTTCATCGTCCACTTTGGTGATATAGAGAGGACTGATGTGATTCCTTGGTAATACTAAAATTTAATCGTTCGCCCTGCGATATACTCAGTAGCTCGTGCGTCCGTAGGAGCATCGCAGTAAGCTATTCTCCAAAATCTATCTCTGCCTGATATTCTTAGAACCACAGGTGACCGTCGTGGAAACAGTAAGATACACACCTGATACGTCCTGCCGACGGCATTCTGATCTTTTTTTTTCAGGCACTCCTAACGTTCCTAGTCCACTGGTGGGTTCACATTTCACGTGGTGATTCCCGTTGTATTCAACCTGCACTCATCCAGCTTCTTTGCCCACCGGATATTTATGCGTATGTCGCATTTTGATTATTTGCTTTATCGTCCAATCCTGTTGTGCAGTTGGCAGACGCAACTGGCTGCTCACATGTCCTATTGTCAGTTGATTTCGACTGATCGGTACTTTTCGCGTTCTCATTCAACCCTGTACAGCTGATCGCTGCGACCTTACGTCTTGGTTAGTCTTTGTCTGCAATCAGTGATGATTCTAATTATACATGGGTGCAGGCTCTGCTTGTGGTACTATTTTTAGCCCTTCTGGTCCGGAGATTTAGCGCTGACATGGAATTTTGCCAGTGTCGACGTCAGAAATGTATGTGGACTTGTTCCTTGAAGGATTCTATTAAAAGTCCACATCGCAACCGGAAGGATTCGTCTAAAAACTTACTCTGGATTCATAAAAGACTGCGGAGTAAGTTCGATATTCTCATCCGTTCCATTCGTATCTCTGATTCGTATACAGTGGGTGTTCACACTAGGCTTATCCATGTCGTCTGTAGCTGATATTCTAATCACTGTATCTCTCTTCGGTCTGCTTCAAACAAGTCGTACCGAGGCTGAGAGGTACCCGTCGATTAACTTCTTCCAATCTCCCACTGCTGACTGATCTTTCCGCAGCATCAATGCCATCATCGATTCGCTGATCCTTTACACCTTTGAGACGGGATCTCTCACGTGGTGCGTTGCGATGATTTTCTGTTTTCCGTGACTGACTCTTAGAGGATTTCTCTGGTTCAGTGCAGGGACTATTGTTGACATGGCCTGTGTGAGTGTCTCTGAAGATATGTCGAATGGAAAATTAAAGTCCCGATAAAGTGGGTATCGATGAAATCGAATCTCGTCTTCCTGGGTATACATTTCGTTATTGGGAAGTGTACGTCTACGTTGATCCCGTAGACTATCTCACTCACCCTTCCATGAAAGTGTATGCAAACTCGCTATTGGTGACGTACGTATCCAGTCCATACCATTCTTTCCCCTCTCTCGTTATTCGAATGTTCAGGTTAAATACTCGTCGTGGTCTCCGCCCAGGACAGACGATTTATTTCGCTCGGAATCCCGAGGATGGCGGTGGGCTGGTGTTGGATGCACGTCGTAACACGGTAGGATCTCCGTAACATTCCACTTCGGGGGCGAGACAAGTGACATCATTATATAGACACACTTAAGCGACCCCGAGTTTGCTAAAGTGACCGAGGTTGGTGCCGACTTTGTGTGTCAATCGGTGCTTATGGCCTTTGCAGCTTCAGATTAACGTGGAGCGGAGCGTTCATTGTACGACCGATTTTAACTTGAAGATGGAGCCTGAGCATACGACAGCCGATGGGAGCGAGAGTGTAGCGGAATGAAATGTCGCCATCAAGCGTTGTATATTTGTATGTATTCTCGATATGCATTGGCAGCGTTTGGTACGCTGTAACTTTTATGCCGATATTGTGGGATGGAATCCATGTTCTGGATTTTCCATGACGGAGAGATGATTTGAGTCTCTGGGTACGATATTCTTCATACAGCCCTTCCTTTCCGAGGTCATTGCATTATCCATGCGTCGTCATCTGTATCCCGCCTATAATTTTTCCTTTGCGAAATAGTCATTTTATGAAAGAGGGTAGACTCCTAGTCACCAAGCTGGTACTATCTGGCGCCACGGAGTGAGCTACTCACTCCCCCGTACCTCTATACGTATGGAAGTACATGTAGAACTTAACATACTCCTAAGTAAACGCTCGATATTGTAGAAGGACGGAAAACACCTTAGCATGCATGTACGGCTTTATCCTATAGTGAAATCTGGAATAGACGATAGAGAGAGAAAGAGAAAACCGCCATTGCAATTTTTTTCCTTGCTGCGTGGCTCCGGATCGACCAAGTAAATACTCTAAACATGGATTTTACAACAGTCAGAACTCGATTTATAAGACCAGGTACATTGGGAGCGCAGCATAAACCTCGGTAACACAACCCAAAAGCCGGTGTATTTATTGGCTTTCACAGCTAAAGAGGTTGGAAATGGCTGGTCAGAGCAATAGTTTCGTAATCATCCATCACATCTTCCATACATGGCTCTGGCGTAATGGGAAAGATAAAGCCCTGGGGTTCGATTCTCCATATCCATCATTGACATTGTGGAGCCCAAGCCTTTTTTCTTAATCATCGAATATGAGGGCACGTGGGCTTAATACTGTTCAAAAACGTTCCTTGTGCTCATTGCTCACCACAATTTCCGGTGATAACCTGCTCCTGGAGGCATAATCAATAAATTGTTAGAGGGAAAGACCCCAAAATATGATTGTCTGGTGCCACCCGGAAAGTTTGGGCATTTAACCATACGAGATATGGCCCGAAACATTGCAGGCGGAGAAGATGGCATGCTTCAAGGGACGAGCAGTTGTCTGATGTAGTAGACCGTAGCCAGATCGTGGATAATGGTATGGCATATCAATGCGGCTCACCTCGCACCAGGGAAAAATACTCAATTGGGAGGGAATGAGACAATTCCTCCAAATTAGGATGACGCAACCACAGATTTGAAGTTGAGTGGAATGATTCACAATCCTATCATGGTGTTCAACCAGAAGAGAATGGACCGTTTTATTCTCGCTACGGCAGTAGCATGTATATCTATCTAGTACAGAGATTTAGCAAAGTAATCATTGAGAGAAAAGGTCATAGCGTACAAGGAAATACTACTACATGGAAGTTAATGACGTGTTATTCTGAATGACGCAGTATATAGGGGACATCTGTGAGACGTTGAAAGGCTACCATAGTAAATGGTGAGATAGAGCAAACACGAATACAACTATGAGGGCAAACAGCGCAGTTCTACTCATTTGTTCGTCAGAGCTGGAACAGATAATTGCTACAGCATCGAAGTATGAGCAAGGAGGATGCATCGAGAAGGGGACAAAGACTCAACAGACCCATCTTCTGGCCAAGGGGTACAAGAACTAGCCATATCTGATAAGGATAGCAACCTGGGAATGAAGAGAAGACGAATAAACCGTCGGCAAGTGATACATAGTATTTATGCTCATCTAGTAAAATGCTCGGCATTGGTTTTGAGCAGAATCAATTCAGAAAGAAGCATTAAAGGTGGTCATGGACTACGCATTCAGTGAAAGAAAAATATAGCAGGAAAAATGTGAAAGTGTTGGGTGTTAAGAAGAGAAGAATGCCCAATTCTGAACCTTGATCATGGTGAAAGGACCCTAAGAATATGGTACATGGAGGTAATGCATTCCTTGCAGGTGAATTGAGAACCAGATGGATTTGGGACTGGACCATGATAACAGTTCCCATTCCTATTCCAAAGCTTCGACAGGAGTCTCTATGTGTTTGCCTTCATAGTTGAAACTAATGGTGCGCATCAGCGAGGGAAAAAATGATGCAATAGTGGAACATGGACTGAGACAAACAAGGTGGGACTTGGATTTCTTGCACCAAAGTCCTAAAACCGTCATTACCATGGCAAGAATCATGACTATAAATGCTGCTTAGTTAAAGGATAGATCGGCCCAGTGCTCTTCAACATGAACTTGACACTTCCCTATGATGATGTGTTGATTCACACCATCGCATTTCTCCTAGTTTCCCATATATTTGTGCTTCACCAGGTGAGGCTCTTCTCACTCTACAATCCCCACTGCTGAATTGTCAGACATGTCAATGATTCAATGCACTCATGATGCTATGAATCATATGGACTAACACTCTCAAGCATGACATTCTGTCCAACGATTACCCTTTCCCTCTCAACAGCACTGATACAGAGACAGAACTCAAGTGCCACACATGACATGCCTACCGACTCACATTCAGATTTTGCACCCTCATTCCTATAATGCCTCATCAAGACACATTTTATATCACAGAACTCGTATCAGAGGTCAAATTCATACTATGGCAAGGACACAAGTGGTTGATGACTATGTCCCAGGAGGTACAGTCAGTCCTTATGATTTGGGACATCATGCAGAGATGCAAGTGCTCGGAATGGTCCCCATGCTGGAAATCCAATGGATTCACAGTTGTGAAGGTTCACAATAACCCAGAGTCTTAAGCCAGTATCATTATAGTATTGTGAGCATCTTTTAATCTGCTAAAGAACCAAATCTGCTAAGTGACCACTGAATTCTATAGATCATAGAGAATTGTACTCCTGAACTTGGATGATGATGAAACTTTGCATGAAATCTACTCCATAAAGAGCAAGCCCCAGCTCATCAGCCTCTCTGGTGACATCCTAGCTCTAACCAATCACACCTCTGTCATGCACCTCTACAACTGGAAGACCAAAGATAGCATATACCTTGACATGATGCCTGGCCATTGCCTCCAAATCATCCTGACTCCACCCACCATCCTCATAGTATGCACCAATTCCATCTCTTGCTACATCCTTCTATCACCCATGCCTGTCTCCTCATATTCCTTTGGTTTGGTCTACAGTGCCAGTGCCACACTCACCTCCATCCTTATCTGCCACAATATGATTCCCCAGAATTAAACTGCAAATCTGTTATGATTTTACTATTTTTTCCTCTTTCTTAACCCCTATTTTGTGCTTAGTCACGACACTGGACCATGGGGATCTTGGTCAGCACAAACCAGATCTATCATTGTCTTCGACAAAGAAACAGCGCTCGACGACAACGAACCTTTTATGTATGGTAGCAATGCCCTAGTACAATGGGCACAAAGGGTACAGCAACGCACAATAAGTAGTCGTATATTTAGATATCCCTCAGTAGTATTTAAGTAGGACAGCTCTAGTCGGTAACCCCCAGCTTCGAGCTAAAGTTTATATTCATACCATTCTACTCTCGAGCCACTTCGTGGCCTTGTGACACACCGAGTCGATAACATCATAAGTGGATTCAGGTGATCCCCCGAAGTGTGAAGGGACGCCTGTCTATCACGTGTTGTCTTGTCACGTGTCGCCTGGGCTTAACAATTAGCTCGAAGCTTCCTCGTTCCCTTTCTCAAGCCCAATTGTGCTGAGAAACCGAATGCCTCCAGTAACAACCGCAGACCTCAATCACGACTTCTTTGAGCTAATAGCTTCCATCATCGGAACATTGCTCGGCCTCTTAGCGATCATCACCCTTTGCCGTGGAAGACAATCAGTAGCAGCCTGGATAGTCAGGCACTATCAAGCATTTCAGCAGATTCAGCAGATACTACGAAACGTAACCCCCGACCTCCCCTTCCATGACATCCCCCTCTCCGTCAGAATGTCCTTCTTCCCGCAAGGGGGACCCGTACCAGAAACTGGGAATAGCGACCCGGATCAGAGGAGCCTTCATGAGGAAGAAGGACCCGAACGCCCCCGACGACACGTCGGAGACCGCCACCCTGCTCTCACAGGGTTCAGGAACCTGTGGACGACGAACGTCCCTCAGGAGCCCACCGAGGTCTCCAACTACGTCACTCCAGCAGGCTCCCCCGAACATCCTGCCTCCCCAATTCCCTCAGGGATTGGAAACCACGCTCGGGACTCCCTTGATGCCGCTCGGATGGCTACAGGACCCCGCGAAAGTCCCAACTCCCCCCAGAACCCCCCCGAAACCCCCACCGAGCCCGACTCCGGCTCCAGTCCGTCCGTCAGCAGGCTGGGGGTCGACAACCCACGAGGAAGGGATATCCATCCCGACTACGACAATGCGGACATTGCCATCTCCGCGGCAGGGGACCCATATCGACATCTCCACGTGGGGAGTGAGCCCGAAACTGGAACCGCCAGTGAAAGGGGAAGGGCCACCACGAGAAGAATTATACAAAGGATATTCCCGGAGTGGGACCTTAACGTCCCCTTCGATTACGACGAGGCAGTCAGACAGCAGCAGCAGAACCAAGAGCGAGAGGAGGACATTAGGCGAACCCAGGAGGAGCTCGCTGATTACGTCCGAGAGGAAGCCCGAGAGCAGTACGAAGCTGCAGAGTACGACCGACAAGGACGAGCACAGAGAAGGAGAGAGGAGATTGAGAGAATGGGGTCAGCCTCCCCCAGGGAGTATGCACTCCGTTCCGACTCCAGATCCCCTTTCAGGGAGCCCGACTCAGAAGACGATCCGTGGACAGGACCAGCCAGCATCGTCAGTTGGGACAAGGCCATCCGACGTGGAAGGACGGGAGAACCCCGAAACGTCGACCTTGAATACCCCGCCCGCACCGACACCATCTCATCAGATGCCGACTCCGTCCTCGGAGCCTACGGGCTCCGAGTACCCGACAATGCCCACGTCTCCGACAGGGCTCTCCAGCGATTCCTGGGTAGCAGGGTCGCTCGACAGTTCCTTAACCCCGAGTTCCAGCGACTCTTCAGCCGCTATAGCCGAGAACTGGA